CTCTGTCCAGAGAAGAACCAGCAAGAATCCCAGCGGGACTTTATTTTTAAATAAAATCCTACAATCATGTATGTTACAAAATTAACAACACAAAACAAACTAGAAATAGCTTGGTAGCGATTACCTCATTCCCAGGGGTTCTTATCATCCATAAATTCCTTAATATTATAATTCCTTTTATGCAAACTTATTATAATAAAGTTTTTGATCATTAAGCAGGTCAAATTTAGAATTTTCTGGAATTTTATAGTAAAAGCGTTTACATCGCCCAAGAATGAATTACTGACTCAGTGGAGTCGAGTAACTGGTACTACTATCTTGTGTCTGTTCCTAGTATTTACAGAATGAATATCACTTATTTTAGTAAAACTACTTTTATCTTTGTGTACGTGCACTAAATTTTCATAAATATATTGAGAGGCTAAAGTTAAAATATTAATTTTAAATCATAAATTGCTCTTATGGCCCGCTTCTGTACAAATACAAATATAATTTCATTGTCAGCCGCGTATCCCCATAGAAAAAGTACCATACGATATTAAGCAATGGAAATAGCTAAAGTAAATTAGTCAACACTGGTAAGATTTCTAATTTTTTACAGCTGCAGAACTTAGTCTGCATGTTATTTTTGATATATGAGGGCTCCATTGAAGCTTCGCGTCTAGTGTGATTCCGAGTGATTTGAGTATTCTGTTTGGTGATTACACGCATTGACATGCGCGACTTCGGTCGATGTTTATGCTTACGCACTACAAAAGGGCCAACTCTGTTTTACTGGTACGCCAGTGGTCACGTGGTCCAATTCCCAACTTGACGTCCCCTTCGAGGGGAGCGCGTTGGTTGGTTGGCGCTCACGGCACACGGCGTGTGTAAAGCCATATGCAGCAAAGCCTATGTATCTGGTATTTAATATAAATATTGTGAGCATTTTCCAAGCGGAAACAGATTGTAAATAAGAAATGGACTGACGTTAATCTGATACAAGTGGAATGGGACGATTTCATGTTCTTCTTAACCTTTTTGAGCCCTGACTTCGTGAACGGAGTTCTTTAGCTTAAATATAATTATAGGGAACTACAAATAGTTTTGGATTACTCTCTGGGAATAATAAAACTCATAAACGTAATAATTGAACGTTCATAAACTACAAACGTTTATGTTATAAAATAACTGAACTAACCACCGTGTTATCATCATCATCGTCATTACAGCCTTTCATAAGTCCACTGCTGAACACAGGCCTTCCCCAAGAAATGTCACTAAGCACGGTCCTGAGCCACTTGCATCCATCGACTTCCTGCATGTCTTATCAGGTCGTCACTACATCTCGTGGGGGGTCGTCCTACTCTTCGCCTACCGGTACGAGGCTGCCACTCAAGAATCTTTCTTCCCGATCGATTGTGGGTTCTTCGAGCTATATGGCCGGCCCACTGCCACTTTAGCTCACTAATTTGTTGGGCTATGTTAATTACTCTGGTTCTACTGCGGATATACTCATTTCTAAGTTTATCACGCAGAGAAACCCCGAGCATAGCCCTCTCCATAGCTCGCTGAGCGACCTTGAGCTTCCTCATACGGCCAGCAGTGAAGGACCACGTCTCAGATCCGTAAGTCATCACTGGCAACACGCACTGTTTGTACAATTTCGTTTACTTTTTTTTTTTTTACTTTTTTTTTTTTATTTATTTAATGAAAAGAAAAACACAATATAATCATAAAAACATCACAAAAACCCTTACGGGTTTGTCTGGATGTTGAGACACTTTTGAGCAATCTGTTGACATTAGTTTACACATATATTACTTTATAAGAACATCAAAAACACAATATCAGCAGTTATGGGTACATTGTTTACACAGAAGCGGACACTAAGGAACCGGTTATAGATTGCGGCTCGGCAGCCGGCCGGCTGTTGCTAGTTGAGTTTGTTATATACAGAATGTTGCAATTATCGATATGTTATTACATTAGGTTTGATTTGATTAAAATTAGACTACTTGTTATGAAAGTAAAGAATAAGAGTATTGTTTATATTTATGTTTGCAATTTTTATCCGTTATTTCTAATTGGGTTTTAGTTGGTATGTTAATTAAAATTATAAAACATTAATGAGAGTTGGTATTAAATACGCATTTGTTCGTTTTCCGTAATAGTTTCTGACTCTTGGTATTTCTAGTTTTGATTGAACTACTTTCCGTGTCGTTATTTTATGATTGACTTTTATTTGTAGTTCTTTGTTAGTAAATTGTTCAATTAATAGCCACATTTTTATTTTTATATGAACAGGTAAGATTTTACAATATTTAAATAAGGGCAATACATCGTAATCGGAGCAGATTGATTTTTTAATTTTATTAGGTGTTATAATTTTTAAAAACCGAAGTTGAAGGCTGTATATTTTGTCCAAATAAGTTTTAAATGTCCTACCATAGCTAGTGATCCCATATAAAATTATTGACTCTGCGAGTGCATTATATAAATTTAATAATATTTTAAATGGTACTTTGTATTTCAAGATAGCAAATTTAGCTAACATTGCTCTCAGTTTGTCACAAATTGTGTCAATATGATAACCCCAGTTAAGCCTGTCATCGACTACTAGTCCTAAGTATTTATGACGAGGAACCTGCTCTAACAACTCACATTTGCAACCGTTCCTATTTGTTTGCAAAACATGCAAGCACTGGTGACTATGCGCGATTACTTCGATTTTCTTATCAAAATTGAGTAGGTAGTTAGAGCGGACATGAATAATTTTAGTTTTACTAGCATTGAGTACTAGACCAACATCATGAGACCATTTACATAAGTTAGTGAAATCAATTTGTAAACAGTGTTCAGCCTTAGCTAAATCTTTATCAGCTGCTACAAGACATGTATCGTCAGCGTATTGGTATATGGAACAGTGTTTTATTATGTTTTCCATATCATTAACGTACGCTAAATAATGCAAGGGTCCGAGAACAGAGCCTTGTGCTGTTCCAGTAGTTACCAGTATTTCGTCACTGAAGTCATTGCCAATCTTAACCCGGTATTTTCTACCGTTGAGATAATCTTGGCACCATTGTAATAATGGCCCGCGGACACCTGTATTGTCAAGTTTTTTTATAAGAATATCATGTCTAAGAGTATCAAATGCTTTACTAAAGTCGATGAATAGTAATATAACATGTTTTTTATCATTAAGGTGTTGATTTATTTCGTCCGTGAATTTAGACAGCAAAATAGTAGTTGATTTATTAGATTGAAAGCCATGTTGAGTATTTGACAATACATCGTGTTTAGTATAAAAATTGTGAATTTGTTGAGATACATATTTTTCAACTTTCTTATCTATAACTGGCAGTATTGTTATTGGCCTATAGCTATCATAGTCACTATGCGATCCCTTTTTGTAAATTGGTCTTACGATACCGGTTTTCAATTCGGGTGGATATTTTCCTACTGATATGCTAGTGTTTATCAACTTAACTACAACATTAGCTATCTTATCACTTAACATCTTCACGTCAAAACATCGAATTCCATCATTACCAGCCGATTTATTTGCATTTAGACTTTTTATAATAGTAAATATATCGCGCTTGGTAGGTTTTCTAAATAACATAGATTTGTTTTCTGGAAATATATATTCCGATTCTGACATGAGCTTTTTGCTGCACCTAGGCAAAATATTCTTAACGTTTTCGCAGAATTCCTTACCAAAATTGTTAGCTATATTTTTTAATGATAAATTATTATTCTTAAATGCTTTGATTACAGCTTCATCTACTGACTTACAGACGCGACCAGTCAGTGTATTTAATATATCCCACATTTTCTTTTTATTAGTTTTATTATTGTTAATTATATCATTAAAGTATTTGTTTCTAGACTTTTCTATAATCTTTTGAGTTTTATTTCGCTGTTTATTAAATTCTAATCTAAATATATGATTATTAGTATCTTTTTTCCACTGATTAAAAAGTAAATCTCTTTTTTGGCACATATTGTTAATTTTATTATTTATCCATAATTCTTTGTTTCTATTGCTATTCAAATGTATTTTTTTTGTATATTTAGATTGTTCGTAACATATTTCGAATTTGTTTTTTATATAATTATAAATTTTTATCGGACATTGCATCTTATCGACTACATTCCAATCTATTTCGTTAAGCTTTGGTTTTAATGTATTATAATCAATTAGCTGTTTATTTTTTGCACCATTCTGTATAATGTTTTTAACTCCGCTTCCTATGCACGATAACACAATCATACGGTGGTCGGCCATAACAGTACCGAGCGCGGCCGAGTAAAGGTCTAGCGAGCGTGTTCTTGCAAAAATATGATCAATGCAACTCTGCGTAATAGTATCATTTCGTTTTTCGATTCTAGTATGATCTGATATTGCACTCGCTAGGCCACACTCGGCCATACAACTTATATAGTATTCACGTATGTTATTATGAGACTTCAAGTCGATATTTACATCACCCAACAAGTATAAATCTAAGCGTTTAAAAGAGTCCTTACACAACAGTTCTCTCAATTCCTTGATAAATAAGTGTTTGCTTTCTTTAGGTGGTCTATACAATGAACAAATAAGTGCCGTGTAATGAAGTGAAGTAGATAATTTCCCTATGAAAGATTCACAATGGTTTAGTGATACATTATTTATAGTTTGGAACTTGTGGGTACTTTTTATATACATCACAATGCCACCACCTCTTCGCTGCTCACGAAGTACATTTCATAGCCATGAATATTAAACAATTGCATAAGATTACTGCTTATGGAAATTCCTACCTCTGTTAATATAATAATATCAATATCAATTTTAGATGAATGAATGAATTGTAAAACTAGACAAAAATTATTAACTATTGATCGTAAATTTATATGGACAATATTTAGTTTTTGAGTATTATGTGGTAACTGTTTACTAAAATCGTTTATGTTAGCACAGTCAAACAGCTCATGTATTTCCGGAGAAGAAACTTTTGCGTTGTGTCAAACTGCTATCGATCTTTTAGCATTGACATCTTATCAATATCACATGAGCTCCTTATGATAATCGGCTTATCATTATCGTTTTTGCGAGCCAAAATTCTACCACCCTGGAACCAAATATATTTATACGCCTCCTTCAAGGTTTGTTTAGCTTGCCACAGAAGCGTTTTATTTGCTTTGGTTAGTGCGCGTCGAAGTATCACCCTTATTTCGGCTACATCGGGATTAGTAACATTGGGAATTATATCTTCCATAGCAATTGTTTCCCTTCGTGCAGCGCGGATCCACTGGTTGACCTGCTCCTCTTGTTGCAATACTAACTGGATTACACCTTCTTTTCCGTCCCTGCCTTTCAGTCTCTTCACCATAGACACTTGACGTTTCTCTATATTTAGCTTCGAGGCTAGTTTACTTGAAAGTTCTTCTAAGTTCTCGTTCTTACCTTCGGGAATTCCGCTTATTTCCAGTACATTATCCAGCAGTTTTTGATCCATATTTCTTATTTGTTGTTCCATTGCATTAACTTTTAATTCCAGGTGGGTATTTTGATTTGTCAAGTACATGTTTTTCTTTTCCAAGTCTTTAACTTTTTCCGTTAGGGTGTCTAGTGTAGCGTTTATAGTATTCATTTTAATACACCATGAGCTTAACGATTCGTTCACAGAAGCCAGTTCCTTCTTCACTGCTTTCTTTACCTCTGTTGAGATATCACTAAGCAGTTTACTCATCGCTGCCGAACCGCTTTTGCCCAGTTGGTTCTCATCAGTATCATCGTCATCATCCTCCGGAATTATAAAAGACTTACGATGGGGCGATTCTTTATGACAATCTTCGCATGTCCACTCCAGGTTTTCAGTATTGCGCAGCGCAGATAACTGCTTCGAAGATAAGCCTGTGCATAATTAATTGGCGTGTACTACTTTTCCACATTTGTTACACTCAAGCCCAGGTAACTTTTTTGTTATGGACTTATCACAATTGTCGCATTTAGGCATTTTTTTAACTTTATACAGAATTGAAGGTAAATTGAAACTAACTATTACAAGTCCGTATACAGTTCGACTACGCTATGTGAGAGCTCGCTAGTGACTGATTTTGTTACAATTTGGTTTTGAGGTATGTCTAACGAGAAGATGTGTCGTAGTTTCACGAACGCTGCCCAGCCGAGTTGAATCCGTCGATTGACCTCTCGGTCGAAGTTGGACTTATCTAGTCGGAATACTTGTCCTAGGTAAACATACTCGCCAACAACTTCGACCTTAGTGCTACCAACAACTACCGGCATAGCTGTGACATGGACATTAAATATGATCTTTGTTTTGTCCATGTTCATCCTAAGACCTATTCGTTGGGAGACACTATTTAGGTCATTGCGCATGGTGCTTAGGTCTCCAGCGATTCTGCCATAAGGACTATATCGTCGGTAATTCGACGGTGAGTGATGTACTCGCCATTGATGTTAATACCGTATCTTTTCCAGTCCAGAAGCTTGAAAACGTCTTCCAATGCAGCGGTGAAGAGTTTCGGGGATATAACATCACCCTGTCTTACACCTCTCTGCAATTGGATAGGTTTCGTACTCTGGTTCTGTACTCGGATAGCCATCGTAGCTCTACTGTACAAACACTTCAGCACTTCGATATACCGACAGTCAACTTGGCACTGCTGAAGGGACTGCAGCACCGCCCAAATTTCGACGGAATCCAAGGCTTCTTTAAAGTCCACATACGCCAGACATAGTGGCAAATTGTACTCTTCGGACTTATGTGCAATTTGCCGAAGGGTATGTATGTGGTTTATGGTGCTAACGCCCTTTCGTAAACCGGCTTGTTCGGGAGGCTGGAAGTCGTCAAGTCTGCGCGCGAGACGATTTGTAATGACTCTTGATAACAGCACGTAGAAGCGGCTCAGAAGGGAAATTGGTCTGTAGTTCTTCAAGAGAGCGTTGTCACCTTTCTTGAAGAATAAGATCGCCGCACTTCTACTCCACGCCTCCGATGTAATGCCACCATGGAGGACGGAATTAAAGAGCTTCTGAAGGACTTCAAGTACCGGTTTTCCACCCGCTTTCAGAAGCTCCGCTGTAATTCCATTCTCGCCTGGGGCCTTGCCGTTTTTAAGATGCTAGAGAGCCATTCTAATCTCGCTCAGACTGACGTCCGGGATATCTTCGGAATAGTGTCGGATAAGACTCGCTCTTGGATCGTTACTCACACTTGCGTGTGGCTCCAACGATGACGTGTACAGCTGCCCATAGAACGTCTCAATCTCACTCGAAATCTCAGGTGCCCCGAAAACGATGCTGCCACACTCGGTCTTCAGGTCAGTTGGCTCTTTCTGGCAGACAGATCTCTGGCAAAGACGTTGGAGCCTTGGTTTCGCTCGATCGCGTGTTCCATACAAGCTGTATTGAAGTTGCGTAAGCCCGCCGCATGCATTTGGAGATCTGTCTGTTCAGTTGCCTGTATGCTGTCAAATCTACTGAAGACTGCAGCTTCATCTCCCATCTTACAGCCATAAGATTGAGATTGAGATCGGAGAGTTTTTGTGTTCATCTGCGGCGGGTCTTGCAGAACCTAGCTTCGACCGCATGGACAGTTTCCACGAGCTTGTCATTAATATCGTCCACTTCATTGCAGTCTTTTAGACACTGAAACCAGTTTTTTAACTCGAGCTGAAAGATTTCGGGATTTGGAACAGAGCACGAGGGGGACGAAGCGTTGACTTCATTAGACGAGACCTCTCCAACTTAACGTTTAGGTTCAGTGTGCCTCTGACCATTCGGTGATCGCTACCAGTTTTCAACCTCGCGATCACGGAGACATCACTGAACAGTTGTCGTCTGGTCATAATAATGAAGTAAATCTCATTTTTTGTCGAACCATCGTGGCTCGACCAGGTCCACTTCCTGTGGGGCAGCTTGTGGAAGAAAGGGTTCATCATAAATAGTCCCTCTTTCTCCATGAAGTCGGCCAGTTGCTGGTCCCTCGGGATCCGTTGCCCTATTCCGAATTTCCCTACTTTCAGCTCACCTTTCTTTCTTGTGCCTAGTTTTGCGTTGAAGTCTCCCATTAACACCGTATAGTGGGTTTTGGAGTAATGAATGGCTCTAGAGATATCCTCATATACTTCCTCCACCTCCTCATCGGGGTGTGCCGAGGTTGGTGCGTAAACCTGTATGACCTTCAGCAAATACACTTTGTCGATTTTGAGTATAAGGTAACTTGTCTACCTCTTCTTCCAGCTCCACGATCTTCTCGTCAGTCGTCAGGGTGCGTGCGTTGCATGTTGCCAGTTCGTGTCGTCTTAGGTGGCAACTGAACCTCCACCGGAGATTCTTAGCACCCCTGCCCCGTCGTTACCATGGTCGCCACATTCGCCAGGAATAGCGGCGCCGCCAGGGACTGGGGGCCGTTTCTTTGTTACTCTCATATTAGGGGGGTATTTGCCATAGTTGCCACCATGTTATATTCTTCCATTCATATTAAAGATAATAAAGTATAGCTATATGCTATATGATAATTAAAATGTTATACCTTGTTTATTTTAATTGAACTATAATTTACAAACAATTTAGCACTCATTACAAAACTTTTTATCAATTAATTTCTAATATTTCCTGCTTTGCTTGGTATTTATAAATTTTTGTACGGCATCATTAATAATAAAAAAATAAAGTATACTACAATAAACTACAAATAATTTAGAACCTATTTTAAAACTTTTTATCGAGTTATTTCTAATATTTACTGCTTTGCGCGGTATTTATTAATTTTTGTACGGCATTATTAATACTAAAAAAATAAAGTATACCGCAATACAAAGAATTTAGAACCTATTTTAAAACTTTTAATCGAAATATTTCTAATGTTTCCTGCTTTTCTTGGTATTTATTAATTTTTGTACGAAATTATTAATACTACAAAATAAAGTATACTACAATAAACTACAAACAATTTAGAACCTATTTTAAAACTTATTATCCAAATATTTCTAATATTTCCTGCTTTTCTTGGTATTCATTTATTTTTGTACGGAATTATTAATATTAAAAAATAAAGTATACTACAATAAACTACAAACAATTTAGAACCTATTTCGAAACTTTTTATCGAATTGTTTCTAATATTTACTGCTTCGCGCGGTATTTATTATTTCTTGTGCGGAATTATTAATAATACAAAAAATAAAGTATACTACATTCATTAGCTTCGATTGTTGTTAAATGCGAATAAAAGGAATTAAGTTTTTCCTAAACTTTTTTTGCAGTTATAAGAAGAGTTTAACAAACGGATATAAAAATTCATTTAAATATATAGATATAACATATTTGTATTTTTAGCTTCTAGCGATTTCTTATATTAAATCAAACACTACATATTGAATAAAACTACTGTTGTTAAAAGCTGAATGTACTTCGTGCTAACTATGAAATCGGGACGCCAAACAACCTAGTCGGCCCGTGATTATGGGTGCTGCAATACACTCGAAATGTCGGGAATTAAAAATTAAATTAAAAGCTTTATAATCCGTAAAACTAGTTTCATTAGAGCCCGTGACTAATTACGGGATTGGTCGTATGGTCCCCGCAAGGAATATGAGAAACTACATATGTTGTCCAGAACTCCTCCCAAGGTTCTGTTGTAGGGGTGCACAAAACACAACAAATGTTGTGACTATCAAAAAATCCTTGACGTACATTGTATGGGAGCCACTAAATTATATAAGTTCCTACTAAGCTGTAGCAATTAAAATTGTCATTTTGTGTAACAATCGTTAGTAATCTATTTTAATAATTAAAAATATACATAGCGACCAACCTGAACTGTTTGTTAGTAGATATACTAAGCCGGTTATTATTAGTAACTGTGAAGCACAAATACGTAAATTAATTAAATTAAAAGTTAGTGGAATCTTTCTGGACTCTAGGATTTTAAAAACCGCATGCGACTGATAGCGGAGTAAAATAAACCTAGCAAGCTAACAGCATAGCAAAGTGGCGAAGCAATCAGTTTTGTAGCGGTTTCTAACGGTTGCCGTTGAGCAATCAGTTTCAAAATAGGAGGTTCAGATGCCTGGGTGATCAGTAATCGATTGCTGAAAACAGAATTCGAAAATTCGAAACCGTTCTCGAGATAATCGTGGGACAGACGGATAGACGGACAGACATCATGAAATCAAAAACCTAGCAAGCTAACAGCATAGCAAAGTGGCGAAGCAATCAGCTTTGTAGCGGTTTCTAACGGTTGCCGTTGAGCAATCAGTTTCAAAATAGGAGGTTCTGATGCCTGGGTGAACAGTAATCGATTGCTGAAAACAGAATTTAAAATTCGAAACCGTTCTCGAGATAATCGTGGGACAGACGGACAGACGGACAAACATCGTGAAATCAATAAGTGACTTTGCAAGCTTCGCCACTTAATAATTTGTTATGTAAGCTGACTTGAACAGAAAGAGCAGTTGGGTAGTGTGACAGTAGTGACATACTGCTTTATATTATAATTTCTTATGTTTACACGAACACGATACATTTAAATAAAACTATTTTATCTTTTCTTTAAATGTTACCTCCACACTAAGATTTTCTCCTGTATCGTGGGGACAGTCTACATACATTAATATCACAAGGACATACATCCAGACCCGTAAACATTATTTGTAGGCCATACAAATACCTGTTCCATGCGGGATTCAAACCCAATTCAAGCCAAATACGCCACGGAGCCAT